GTCAGTCTCATGCTGTATGGCTTCTCCTGTGCTCTCCCTGGTGTTTGAGGTACCCATAACCTGCAGGTTGGCTGAGAGCTGAGGGAGAAGCAGATGCCCCATGCAGCTTTGGAACTAAGCTGGAGCTTATAGTCCCCACTGCTCTCCTCTCATGGGCTGCTAAAAATTATGGGGAAAAAGTCAAGAGCAAGCAAAGTGTTTGTAAGCTGTGTGAAGGCTAACTGCCACCCCCAGCCTAGTACTAGATGAGAGAGCTTTCGTATGCTCTCTATATGTCAAGCTTCCTTGTGGCTGGTGGGATTCACAGGAATACACTGGGGCATTGGGACCCTCACAGTCCCTGGTGGGAGAGTGATGAGTGCCTGTAGTGGCTGTGCACTCAGGGATGAGCTGGTGTTGGGGTGAAACACTGCTGCTCTTCATTTCTGCACAGAAATGTGGATGAGGAGAGGCGAGAGGGGCAGGAGCTGTGCTCTAAGGAAGTGGAGCAGGGCAGGGCAGCAGCAGCAGCACCCAGCCTCCCTCCCCTTACACCTACAGCTCCCCTTCCTCCAGGCCCCTGCCTTGCTCTCAGCACAGGGAGGAAATGGCTCAGGCAGTGGCTGCTCCCATCTGCAGCAGCTGCTGTGAGCAGGCACAGCTTCCCTGGACCCCCTACCTGGCAGGGCTTATTCCCCCAGCCCCAGGCTGGGGGTCTGTGATAGCAGCTGGCCGTGGCCCAAAGTACCCTGCTCCAGCTGGCCCTGCTATGAGTGGGGCTTGCACTGGCGAACTTGGAGATCCCTGCCAGCTTCAGCTGGTTTGGGGTTCTCCAAAAATTAATTTGTTTGTATGGAGTGAAGCTTCTCTGGAGAGCAAAGCTCCTTACAGACCTCCTGTTTCCCAATAATTACTCCAGCCCAGGAAATGAAATAAATCTTCAGCAATAAGACATATTGGTCTGTCCTATGACAGCCACAGCTCTGGGCCAGGCCAGCACCCATGTGCTGAGTGTGACACTGGCAGTAAATCACAGCACTCCCTCTGCAAACGGGCACAAATAAATGGTTTGTTTGGATAAGTTTTTTCTCAGCTCTGTTAAATAATTCAACAGGTCTCTTTCAGCCTCCTGCCTTATCCTGAGTCTCTCACTCTCCACCCCTCTGTGTTTGGGCCCAAGATCCCCCATCACCTCCCAGAGCAGGTGTGTCAGCACCTCTGCAGCCGTGTGCTGTGTGAGAGCTCACCGCAAGCTGCTCCTTACATGTCCAGAGGGCTGTGGCACCAGAGCAAGCACCATCAGGGTGTGGAGTCACTGCAGTATGGCTGGAGAGGGGGACACGTTCAGTATTCAGCTCAGAGAGTCAGGAGACCTGCCTGGAGTTCCACATCACCAGCCCTGGAGAAGCAAGCTCTGCTTTGCGTGACTGGGATTGTCACCTCTAAACTGTTAGAGGCTGTCAGAGAGAACAGGCTGAAGAAGCATTGCAGAAAGGTCATTGACTTTTGTGAGTACAGAGTAGGCACTGAACGCAGAGTTTAATACTTTTTTTCCAGGAAACCTCATCCTCCCTCAATTTGCTATCTGTTAAAACCCTTGAAAAGCCAATTCACAGTTTCTGCCAGAGAAATAATTACTTGTATGAAGACTTAAGCCTCTCGTTTCCTATAATGATAATCCTTCATGAAAATGAAATAAGAATTTCTACAACATTTGTGGAGGCTCTTGGCAGAACATCCAGCAACAAACTGCCCATTAATGACAAAACTTCTTTTGGTGCTTGCCCAGAAAACCTTACCTTGCAGGTCATTAGAGCTGATTTTGGAGGGAAATTAAGTTACAAGCTGCTTATTAAAACCAATTCTGACTGAAGCTTATGGTAGTATTTTCAGTGAGAGTCTTTCAATCTCTATTTAGAAGCATTTGACTGCCACTGATAAACAAATGCTCCTGTTTTTTGTTTAATTACAGGTACCCTTCTGTCCTTTTCCCCAGGAAAATTCTACTTATAATTGATGCTTACCAAACAGTTAAAAATATGTGTATTTCCATGGCCTCCCTGAAGGCTCAGCATGCTGCCAGGGGGAATGGCATGGATGAAAAAAGGAGAGCCTCTGCCTAAGCTATTACTTCAGAGAAAGCTGGTGGTGCCTGAAGGCATTTCGTGAGATGACAGTCATTACATTTAGTGAGATGACAATCATTACCGCTGCTGAATTATCAGCTGAAGAAGGCACAGTTTGAGGTTCTTACTTGCTATTAAACCAAACTCAGCTCTTCCCTGAAGTCACAAAAAAATCAAGGGAAAGAAAGCACCTGAGCAGAGTGGCACACTGGTGCTGAGCTAAGGAGAAAGCACGGGACAAAAGTATATTTTAATGCAAACATAGTAATGTAACTACTTTAAAATACTTCTCTAGTGGCTAAAAAGAGCATGCAGCCTTATTTGTCATCACTGCCAGCACAAAACCACTACAAAGATAGTTTTCTTCTGATTGCTTTGCAATTATAGGTAAAAATGGGGATGTAATTTGAATTTATATACTCTCATCCAAAGGCTTTGAAACATACAGTGATTGATATCCCAAGAAGTGAATTATTGCATTAGAGACATATATGCAGCTCTTCTGTACAGCCAGTCAGAGGGTGAGTTTCTGGCACTGAGCAGTGGAATTTCAGTGCAGTCCAGGCTGAAACCCAGCTGGAACTGGACAGATTGTGAGATCTTCTATATCAGTGGCTGAAGTGAAAATAAGCAATATCCACTGAGAGGCTTTTAACGATGATAAATATGAGCAATAACTGAATAAAGAGCACTTGAAACCCCCCACACATACATCCATATGGTGCAAATGTCCCTCTTTTCCCACCTGAGTTCCAACCTGCGTTCTTTGTTCCTTAGGTTCATAGGCACAGACTGGGAATATGTCAGCTCAGAGGCCAGCTCTGCAGATCTGGACTATCTGCCTGAATGTGGGTAGCTCCCTCCAGTATAAAACTAACCATGGTTTAAAAGTCCCAGCAACAATGCCACCATCAGAGAAACCAGGAGCAGAACTTCCACTGCAAGTTAATGGCAGTTCATCTCTATTTGGGTCACCAGCACCTCTCTAACCCAGAAATCAAAGAACTCTTTGGCCATGAGGCAATTTTACATCTTCTGGGGTAATAAAACCCTTCTAGCCTAAAGCATACAGCCCCGGAGCTTTTAGCAATTATGTGCCGCTCTCTGGCCTCTGCCACAGTGTATTGCAGGCTGGCAGACCAAGTGCCTTGGGGACACACCAGCTGTGGGGGAGGCTGGGAAGCTGGACACATGCCACTGGAAGGACTGGCAGGTGTGTACCAGGCGTGAGGGACTGTTGGGAAAAAAACATTCAAGCCATCATGGGCTGCTGCTGGTGTGGCACAATCTGAATTGACTTTGTCATACTGAGTGAAAAACTATGTTTTACAAACCACAGCTAACAGCTGAGCTTTCAGAAAATCATAGCTGTTATTCAAATAAATTATATCTCCTGTGAAGAAGATGAATATTGCAGCTTAAAAAAAATTACTAGGGAGTTTGCTTTGACAACAAATTGAGGCAACCTAAAAAAGAAAATCTGCTTATGTCAAGCCTTAGGAAGTGGGCAGTGAATTGGCTAAGTGATAGTTACATGGTTCAGAAGTCTGGCTGTGCAAACCACTTCCTATGTATGCAATTTGTACATACAAAAGACAGTGCTATTTTCTTCCAAGTACAGAACAGTCCACTGAAATTTCTGAGCTGCTATTTTAAAAAATAGCACAGCCATAAACCTGCAAACTGTTGAGCAATGCAGACCTTCTTTTAAAAATGGCTTTTAGCTTAAAAAAAAAAAAAAAATCAGCAGTAAAACCAGCCACTTTTTTCATGATTAGAACAGAGACAAAGAATGGTGACAAGTCTCATCCAGGCTGGGTGACACTCACCCCTTCTACAAAGCATAGAAAAAACCCTGACCTGGTGGGAATAAGGGCAGTGAATCTTTTAACAGCAGACTCCAAGGGGAAAACACAACATATTAACCTTATAGAGGCAAATCTCCTGTTGTTTAAGGAAGTCTCCAGCATAGTTTTTGCCCAAGTCCAGTTTGTGAAGAAGAGGAACCCTGCATGCAGCCAGTTAGCTAATGCCAGCACAGGCATTTCTAAATTTTATACATAGGTATATGTATATCTATGTACACACAGAGTTAAAACAGAGAGATATCTTTATAGAAGTGAAGGTGTATGGATCTGTAAGTAGATGCTAGTAACAGTGAGTCTCCCTGACACCTTTACCAGGAACTTCTTAGAAGGCAAGAATATAACCTAGAAACAATATTATCAGAAACTTTTATTTGTTGTGGTTTGTAGCTTTACACAAATACTGAAATGAAGATGCAAGTAGTTCAGATTTTCAGTTCGCAGACAGAATACAGAAACACATGGAAGATTTTTTTAGATTAACATCCAGAAAATGAATGAATGGATCTGCTGTGGAAAGAAAATTGAGCATTTAAAAAAATTTAATTAATTAGTTCTTTTTGAGTTATATTCTATTCTATGTCTGCAGATGTAAATTTTCTGTTTCCCATTTCTGTTTTTAGTATGAACACATGACAAAGGCAAGTTTTTCTGTTAAAATGGGTGAGAATCACACAATGGCTCTGAACTCAGAGCCACACTAAATATTTTTTGAAGTAGTACAACATCTTCCCATTACTTTAAAAGAAACATAACCAATTCTAAAGTACAGAATCCTACAGATATATGGTGGGAAACCAATATAATTCCTAATGTTTTTATTTACTAGGCTATTGTAGAATCCTTTGTTAATAGTTGGATATCTATAGGAACCCATACTTTGAGATAGCAGTAGGTAGACAGAAACCCATAATTATTGATAGCTAAAGCCAGCAAACAGTAAAAGTATCTTTTACCTAACCATGCTAGAAAAATCAGAATATGCCAACTGAATGAAATATACTGAGAACAGGACAAAACTATTGTGTTCCTAGCGTGGCATTATAATTGATCGCTGCTTATCTCTCTCCTTCATTTTATCAATGTAGTTCAGCACCTCTAGAGTCCTCCTGCCAGCCAAGCTCAGGTACTCGGCCTCAGAAGAGAAGGGGTCTGTCCCGGCCGCGCTGCCGGCGCCCGCGGGCTGCTGCCCCTTCTGCACTGGCCCTTGGTGCTCTCCTGCGGTGCCGGCAGCGCCGGGAGGAGGGACCCCGCCTGGGCTGCGGGCGGCGGGGAGGGATCCCCCACAGCTGCACACCCTCAGGGTGCCACACTGGGTGCCCACGTCCGCCTTCTCTACGGTCACGGAGCCCTCGGTCTGTGACCAAACATCGCGCCCGGTGCTGCTACTGACATGCTCCCTCTTAAGGGCGCAGTACGATGGGCCCTGAGATAGAGCTGTGTGGGTTTTATTTTCCTCCTCTGTGGCACAAAAATTAGAATCTCTCTCCTGAAGATTGTTTGCTTCTTTTCTAGGCAAAGTACTGCTGGGCTTCATCCCCACACTTTGGGTGTGAGAGCTCTTGGGGGCCTTTCTTCTTGCTGAGGCTGAGAATAGGTTGGCACCGTGTGCCTTCAAGGAATGTTCATTCAGATATTCCTTCTTTTTGGCTGTGTCTTCCTCTTCAGACTGTTTGAACAGAATTGTGCAATTGTAACTGTTCAAATAGTTAAGTAACTAAGGACTAAAGTAATTACTTGCTAATAACTAAGCTAAATAAACAGAAAGCCCAGAACTGTCTCCTTTGGTTGTCTCCTTCTCCAAGGATGGCTCTTGGTGAAGACAAAGCGGCCAGTGCAGACCTCCACTCTCACAAGCAATTTATAATCTTACAACACAGCATTTTTGTGTTCAAGAATGACTGAAAACACAGTGTGTCAAATCATCCTGCTTTACAGGCATGTAATGTAAGGCAGCTATACATACAGGAAGAGCATAGAACGTTGCTTAGACTTTTTCCACAGTCATGCTATGTAATTCCACAAGGCCAGTCATTATCAAGAGAACAGACCACATGTCTGTCAAACTACTTAGGAAAATTTACAGCTCATAATTTCTTGTCCTCATCACACATGAAGTTATCTCATACAAAACAAAGTGAAATTCCAGCTACATCTTTAGGTGCACTCAGGCATAGAGATATGATTCAAATGAAGCCCTGCCAGCCCAGAAGGATTTACTCACTGTGTCAGGACTAGAGCACAAATAGCTCTCAGTCTGCCTTGGAGAGTAACTGTGAGACTGGCTGCTGAATGGTGACTCCACATCTTGAAAAATTAGATGAAAAAGAAAAGGTTACTCACAGAACAGTCCCCAAAGATCCAACTCTCAAGTATACCATGTAGAACTATTTATTTCTGATGCAGTTTTAAGACACTGTTTAAAGAACAAAATGTTAGCAAGGTCAATCTAGTTCACAGCGATAGCCAGTTCTCCTCCGGTCAACACATCTGAACAGAGGTTGTGAGATGGGGCCCCCAAAGCCTCAGCTGTGCTGTTCATCAGCAGCAGAACTGCAGAACCCAAAAGGAGGAGGGAATCTGGAGAGCACAGCCTGCAAGAGAGCACAGCAGACTCCACGTGCACACTGGCTGCCATAGAAGTTACATATTTCTTTCTTGGAGGTCCCTGAGAGATCTCTGAAATGCAGCCAGCACAGCTGACCCTACAGCTACTGATGGAGTAGGAAGGATGTAGGATTGCTTTGCTTACCTCCCTCCCTCTGTCCACATGTGGAGTGACGGCATATAGTCTAGTGGAAGAGAATATCTCTTCAAGGAAAAGCAAGCACAGCTAATTCTTAGTTACCTGGTAATGCTAGTTGTCTTTTTACAGTGCTGTGTGAATCAGAAATATAAGCTCTTATTAAAATTAACATCCTAAAAAGATCATTCTCCCTGGCTTTAAAAGTAACTGTTCCAGATTCACATGTAGAGAAAACATTTTTAAGTGATAATGTATAAATAGTACTAACCCATCTCATGAAGATATGAACTCAGTCCAAACTTATACCCTTTCTCTTGTGCTGTTGTGAACTGTTAAAAATAATAAGGTATTAATAGTGAGGGTTCAGCTGGATCAGTATCTCAGGTTAAGAAAGGAACATTCAGTTTCTGTGTTACATAAAGGAGTCACTGAACTGTACCTCAAATTATTTTAAGAGGATTTTTACCCCTGAGTAGTACCATATGTGGCTTCTACAGTCAAGACATCTGAAACACTTTTATATATATACTGGCACAAAGCTCCTTTATAATACTGAAGCATTCTGCATATAAGTCTGGGCATTGCCTGCAGAACCTGATCCTAAGTGTGATGGGTAATTTACCCAGTTCTTTCAGGCATCAGCTAAAGTGTGAATGAAACCAAGTGAACTGTGGACCTGTCTATCTGAACCATGTCACTAGCAGCAGTTCTTTCTGAATTCCTTATACAAACCATGATGGAAAAGAAGCTTCCATGATAGTTAATTCATTGAAGCTATATTCAGTTTCTAACTTCCTTCTCCACCTCAAATGAATCATGCAAACATTGGGTCTGACAAAAAAAACCCCATATTTTTAAAAGTTACCTCTTCAAATACAAAGACATGGTTCTCATTCCAGGCTGTTTCTTTCACAGACTTGTTGTCGCTGAGGAATGCAAACACAAGTTCACTGGTAAGTGATTTTTTTCCCCAGTATTTTTATTTTCTTTCTGATTTAAATTCCTGATTGATGACTTTTCAATTTTTACTTTGTCTTCAGTAACCATTAAATGCTTCCCACTACTGAGATCACCGAACTTATCTCTGAACCTGAGATTTAACACCAAGAATATGTTTTTCACAAACACCATTTCTGTTGAAATGGAATTGAAGCAATAACAGAAGATAGTGCTGTTTTGTAAAATGGAAGGTACTATGTATCAGTCTTTGAAAAACAAGTCTTTAGTAAAACACAGAGCACTCACATAGAGCAGAGAAGACACTTGCTCTGTAGCCAGTGGAATGAGACAGAATATTTTAGAGGGCAAGCCAGATTACCAGCTTAACTTCAGGATCTCCAAGCTGCCCCATGAAGCAGTATTTCTGTGTGCTTATTATGGGCAGATACAGAGGCTTAGTGGGCTTTCCTGTGATTTATTCACACTGTACAGTACTATTTTCACTAAGAAAACCTGAGTCTAAACAGTAATACTGTTTAGAATTTTGCCTTCTTGTGCTCTTAGCAGGATTTCTCCAATTCAGCAAAGTCTCTGCAGTTATCACTACTTAATAGATTGGTAATTTCCATAACACTCACCTTTTTTTTCTGGAATAATTCTGCACATTCTCCTTTAAGCTATTCTGCTGATCATGGCGATATGCAAATGTCTCTAAAATTAGAAAAAAAAGTAAACCTTGATTTTGAAATGCAATAGAATAAACACAATTTCTATAAAAGTTTCTGTCGAGTTTTTAAAATAATTTAAATAGTTGGATTTAAAATTATGTGACTGCATTCTGAAGATTCATTATGTTTTCAGTTGGGGCAGATACATCTCTAGTTATAAGAACCGATGTCTTTAAAAGGAGAATAAAACCCAGAATACAGGTCCTCAAAATATGACACGCACCAATTTTTTCAAGGTTTGCTCTTCCTTCTTTCTGTTCACAGGGTGTGAAGTAGTGCTGTCCCTCACGACAGTTCTGCCGCGGTGTTTTATGAAGTGCACTTGTTTCCTTGTAGCTTGTATTTGACACATTGTTACTTTTAAGGAAAACCTGTTCTGGAGCTGTGAAAATGCCTTCAAGGTGTCTGTCTACCAGATCTTCTTTTGCATTGGTTGCAGGATAAAGCCTTCTAGTGTCACAAGAATAAATTCTGTTGATTTGATTTCGAACATCAGGAACAGTGAAAAAAAAGTCATTATTGCTTTGGTTAGAAAAAGGATTAAAATGCTTTGTGGAAGGATTATTTTGGATTGGTCGACTCTCATCTTCAAATAGTGCCAGAAAGGAACAACCACCTCCATCTTTCAGTTCTGCGGCTTCTTTCACAGCATCAAATATTGCTTCTTTTATTCCTTCACAGTTTTCTGAGTCGTTATTGGCTATTATAATTGGATTTTTCCTGGCAGAATTCATGTAGTCTGGCCTGGGGGTAGGCAATGAGGTATAACAGGAGTAGAAGAGAAAATCCATTTTGCTGAGTACACAAACAAATCAAATACTGTTAACACAACACTTTATGGTAATTTGATAATAAAAATATAAAAAACTTCACAGCTCATTACACTTGATTTTGTCCTAAATATACAGTATTTCAACTGATAAAGTGTGTATTTTATTATGTTTTATATCTACTTTATGGTAAGATTGATTTTAAAGGGGTTCTATTTCTTAATATCTCCAAGCATACAAAGCCATGGAGCACATCCTCCTGGACAGAGAGTTGTGATTTATAAAATCAGCCACAGTATGTCACTGCTGCTCCACCAGCTGACCAAAGGCGGCCACAGCGGGGAGAAAAAGAAAAAGAGGAAGATAGTTTCTTCCATTCATAAAAGTAGTTTGCTTAAGACTGTATTTGTCTTCCATACTGAAAGCCCATAACAAGTGACTTTCATTTGTACCTGAAATCAGAAATCCTGATTCAGCACAGATTTTTTCTGTTCCACTGTCAGGAGGCCAGTCAGACATTTTGATATGCCACTACTTCCTTACCCCACTTTGAGAGCAGTGGTTTTGAAGATTTTATCATGTAAGCATCATGGACATGAAAGCCATCATGCTTTCACTTACTTGGCTCTTAATCTAACATTTTCACTATTTTTTTTCCAGGTTGGATCTGCTGACTGAACTCTCAGAAACTCTGAGCAAAAAGTTGAAATTCTTCTGAAGGACAGAGATCTGGCAAAAAAGACCATTAAAAAAAAAAAAACAACAAAAAAACAAAAAAAACCCCACAACTCTTTCTTCAAAATGTTCTGAGCAAGGCTATCAGTAGAACTTGAAACTGAAATGTAGTACAGAAAACTCTTACTGGAGAAAATGCTTGTGGTGTTTTGGTCATCAAATACTTGGAACTGGATAAAGATTCTATGGAACTTAAATGAGAAACTAGTTTTCTCTAGTTACAGAAACCTCACCAGGACAGTTTTAGAAGGCTAAACACACTAGAGTTTATTTCAGAGGATACTTGGATAGATTTACACAAGGCAGGTAAAACCATTTTGTGAAGCAATTCAGAGAGTCTTTCTCAACTCCAGCTGAATATTTTGTTATGCAAAATAAAATTTAAGAGTAGATGAGGAAATATGACATGAAAACTTTTAATTAATATTTAATAACCTTGAGGTGCCACAGCTCTCAGAATTATGGACATTGATTACATCATCAGTATGTTACATTAAATAACTGTATAAACTGACACTCTACTTTTCACATACAGTGAAAGAAACTCCCTTCACAGAAGAATTATGATTTCTTGATAAGAATAACTGTATAAGAATTTATGGCTAGAATGAATGAAAACAAAATGAGGACAATACCAAGAAACGGATCTGAAGAGCAGCTGGAAAGGAAATGTTGTTAGTGACCCATGAATAGGTAGAAGATGAGAGGATGTGGCATAAGCAGATGAGTGCAGACCTGATAGCTGGTAGGGAAATGAGAGATGTAGGTGAGATAAGGTTATATAGGGCTGGTGGAGAAATGAGAGATGTAGGTGAGATAAGGTTATATATTTACAGTGTAAATATATTAATTGGGATGTGCAGCAAGGTGAACCCTATGCTCATTTTAGGTTTTGCTGGAGAAAGCCAGGAGAAGCTACAAGAGTAGAAGTCAAGGTGGCTGATGTGTTTAGCTATTATTTGGCCAGTGATTTTATGGGTCACTTGACTCCCCAAGCAAACAGGCTGCAGGCACTTCAGGAACAGCAATATACTCTATGGCCTTTTTATGTCTTTAGCCAGCCTAAGCTAGAGATGGGCAGGAACTTTCAACCAAATGGCAGACTTGTGCAACAGGAGGAGTAAAGTAAGATTAGCTATGTAGGACCTCTAAGTCCAAGGGAGAGCCTCTGGAAAGAAAATGAAATAAAATGTTCAGTACAAACGAGTCTGTCCCTAAACCCTCTGTGATTTGAAAGATTTTTAATCAGTACATACAAAAAGAAAAATATTCTTGATTTCTCTCCATTCTTTTAAAAACAAAGTATATATTCTCATAGAAGTATTATTGAATCAATTATAGGGAAAAAAGAAAGCTATAGTAGGATCACATATGCAAGAGAAGAAAAGAAAATGCTTTGTTCTTGGAATCCCTAGTATAAATAATGCAGGTGCAGATGCTCAGTTGCTATTGCATCAAGATTGTCAGAAAAGCACTTGCAACACTGCCCAGAACTAATAACACCTGAGGCAGCTTCCCCCTCCTCCTGGCCTCTTAGTAAATCTGTCCTGTCATTCAAGGTAAATTCAGCACAACTATCATGTCTGTGACATTGAAAAAAATAGATCATGGCTCCAAGTGCCTACTCAAAATTCAGATTTTTCTGCTTTTCAGCAAATTTAAATAGCTTTGTATGTTTAGTATTTCCATTTGTTTTCAATTTCCATTTGAAAAACAGTGAAAAAAAACCAAGTAGCAATAAGGTTCTGATTATTTTAGTATTTTTCTTAATTAAACTTGACTGTTATTTTCCTCATTAATGTAAAATCACTTCCTACCTATCAAATGGCTTGAACAGCTCCTGAGGCACTGTATCAGACTTCCTGAAAAGAAAGTGGCTTGGAGGGTTTGTATTCCAAGGGTTTTGATCAAAGCTGTTACCTGGCTGAGAAGACAATAGAAGCTGTCAAACTGTGAATATACATAATTGTTACAGTCTTTAAAACTTTCATCTTGGTTGAAATATATCTATTTTCCCACTATTTTTATTTCTTCATATCTTTACAGCAGAAGCCCAAACCTCCTTACAGCCCAACTGTTGCCAAACAAGCTTTAGCCAACAGATAACTACTTTGAGCATGACAGTAACAGTTTTTTCTCATCCTATTGTCCATTTATCTGGTTCATAGCTGCCCATTTTGACTACCAGAATCCCATGGGAAACTTAATAAAAAGCCTTCCTAAAGTCAAGGTAAATAATGCCTGCTCTTCTCTCTAATTCCCAGAGCTACTAATTCCATCACAGAAAGCCATTGTGTCCACCAGGCAGAGTATGACCTTGCAAAATCTGATGGCTGTTTGCAGACACCTTCTTGTTCCTCATGCACCTTGGAATTTCCTCTGGGAGCTTAGCTCCTTATTCCTTCCAGGGACAGAGGTGAGATGATGGTTCCCCAGATCATGCTTACATTTTTGCAGATGGACATAACATTTGTGTATTTCTTCTCACTGGGAAGCTTCTCTGATCACCACAGCCTTACAAGGGTGGTAAGTATCTGCCTTGCAGTGATGTCATCCAAGACTCTTAATATACTAGTTTGGACTGTGTCCAGTCTCATATATTTCTATATATTCAGGTTACAATAGATTCTCTAACTTGTTCCTTCCCTACTGGTTCATTCAACTCCCCCCAGCTCCTGACTGCATTTTAGGATGAGCCAGAGAGCAGATGTTTTCTGGAAAACTTGAAGCATTGTAGTCTTTGAGTACTTCAGGCTCTTCCATGTCATTTTTCACTAGGTCTCAATTCTATTTAGCAGCGTTTTCCTTTGTTTCCTTTCTTTGATGACACACCTAAAGAAGTCCTCCTTGCTGTTCTTCTCACCCATTGTGATTCTCAGCTCTGACCATCCTAATGCCACCCCTCCCAGCTGAGGGGATGCTCCTGTCTTCTTCCTGGGTTGCCCATCCCTCCTTGCACTCTTCCTTTTTGCATTTGACCTCAGTCAGGGGTTCCCTGATTCAGCCAAACTGGCCTCCAGAATCGAATCATTCTCTTGCACATAGAGGTGGGCTGTCCTTGTGTTTTGAAAACATATTTCTTGGGGTTCTTCGTTCTTCAGGTCAGCTTCCTGTGAGTTTTGGCCTATTCATTCTCTGAACAACCCATCATCTCCCCTTCTGAAACTCCTCAAGCATTTCTTCCTCACTAACCTCAAGACTTCAGAGTACCATTGGTGAGACACATAACTTTTTTTATTATTTCCAATGAATAATATATTTGCTAAAAATAAAGCATATTTGCTATCAATTTTCTAAGGATGATTCTTTTAAGAATCACAAAGTTAACAAAAAGAAAAAATAGTAATATATGAACGAATAAGTTTCAAGTGTTTCTTAAAAGTAAAGAGTTAAACAGCAGAGCACTGAAAATACTGTAAGAACTATGTTAATCACTGAGACATTAAAAGATAAAAAATTAGGTAATGGGATCACCTGGGATCATGCAACACCCAGTTACACTAACTGTATGTTCAAGAAAGCTGTATTTCTAACTATATTTCAGGTTTCTTTAACCAAATTTACAAGCCAGAAGCAAAAGAAAGCCACCAGCATGTGACTAATTCTCTCTCTGCAAATATCAGCAACACTGAGGGTTCAGTGAACAAAAGTCAAGTTGGGCTTATTTCAGAACAATAAAATAAATATATTTCTATATACATAATATTAATTGCCACCAGCCTACAAAAATGTTGATCAATCATAGTTTTACACACCAAATAAATGAAAGTTAGTTTAAAGTAATTCCACAGAGGTAAAACATTAACCAAACCTCTTTTTGCAGCTCCTTTTCATAGATGTGGTCCCAAATGTTGCCCATTAGTTTTGTGTTGAAATTTTCTTCTGAAAGCTGTGTACAGTTAGAGAACTGAAAACCAGAGGAGGACAATGGACAAGCACTAAAAACTCTTGCTGTGTTGTCTTCATTTTCCATACTAGAATCAACATAGCCTAATTCCATTACTTGTGGAATGAGCTAGACAAAACATAACAAAGACATATTTTATTTAGCTAAAACTGTTTTGATTTAAGCATAAAGTTCAAAGTAATCAAGACATTTTGTATCTTTTACATATCTGCACATAACCACAAAGAAGAGAAGATTTTCTCTATTCTGACACGACTTTTCACTAAAAACTTAAGGCAATAAGGGCTTTTTTCAGGGAAACATGTAAGTAACTACTTAATCTGAAGCATGCACACAAATGCTATCTTGAGGAGAGATGGATATAAATACATTTTTAGCTTTTTTTCAAGAAACATATAAACAGTAGCATGAAAATAATTTGTCAATATAGTCTTAAAGAGAAAGAAGAGTTCATGTGTTTCAGTACCCATGAGTTTGTCCACTCTTTGAAAACTCACTTAAAAATACAGTAATTACTGCACATATTTAGTCTTATATCATAAGAACAACAATACCTTATGCTGGTATTTTACTTTTTCTGAGAGATGTTGTCTTCTGCTGTCCAAAACTTGCTTTTGTAACCTTGTAAAATGAATAAAAACAGCCTATGAAATGCAAGATCCAAAATATTAAAATATTCTGATTATTAATTTCAAAATAACTTAGGAATATTTTTTCACACATCTTAAAACAGCCTGATTCTTAGGCAGCTATGAGCAGCCTGTCTGTGAGTTTGTCACTTTAGGGTCTCCAAAGCTGGATGGGAAAGCAGTGTAAGTGTGTAATGCTGTTTGAATAACCTGCTCCTTGAGGTAAACAGTATAAGTACCTGGCATGAGTACAGACACATAACCATTTTTAAAAAATCTCTCAGCTTCATGTGCAGTTTTTTATTCAGAATTTATTAATTTCTCTCCCTCTCTCACAGTATCACTGGAACAACAGGAGTGGTTGTGAAACTCCACTGTTTACAATGGTATGTTTATATTGTCTTAATACCCCAAATGTGAAGACTATAATGAAACATCTGTCCCAGAACCTCCCTATTGGGTAACTATTGCCTATTTTCTACAAGTACCTGCTCTGGAGATCATCTAAGTTTGACTTATGTTGTGTACGTAGGGGTGATGTGGGAAGCTCTAAGTTATGTCTCCTGATAGGTTTTTTTCCATCTTCAGTGATATCAACGTGGACTGGCTTCCTCACGTTCTCTGCAATGAATGTATTTGTTATGTCAGTGCAGGGCTTGGAGAAAGCTTTGATTTGAGCTTTGAGAATTTTCATTAGAGTACAAAAGTTGTTGTTTTATATTTCTTAATCCATTTAAAGCCATATTTGTTTCTTTCTTTGCTACTAACAATACAAAACCTCTATTTTAAATGGCACAATGATATAGAATTACGCAGGTGCTCACCACAGGGAGCAAAACATTCCCTGGCCACTCGCTTCCCACTGCCCCACTGGATGGGGCTCCTTCCCCTGTGCATGATGTGAGGAGGTGCAGAATCACCTCAGGGTCCTGGCCAGGCCTGTCCTGGCTACTGCGAACATTCACCCTGGCCTGGCCTGGAACCAGGACACTGCACAAAGCTTTTAAGGTGAAGAAGGCAGGAGACAAGGCTGTTGGATTGCTTTTATGCCCAGACTTTTTATTCAGTCATAATTTTTGTATTAAAATACAATTTTTACTTTAAAAATAAAACAACATTTACTTGAGGGTTAAGTTGTAAATGGAAGAACAAGAACTAAAATAACAGCAGTAATAGGTTAGAACAACTAATTCTGATACATCAGTATACCCAAAACTCACCAGTGTTTTCTGTCTTGGTTGATATCTGGTTAACCACATATAGATTGAGAAGATCCAAACTGACTGCTGAACTTTTAGGAGATGATACTTCCAGGAGCTTCATTTTTGACTTAAGCTTCTTTCTTTCAAAGTATTCCTTAATTTTTTAAAGGAGAGAATAACTTTTTGACAGAAGCTTCAACAATGCATTGCCAGTATAGGTAATTATTTTGAAATTAGCAAGCAAGACTTAGCAAACTACTCCTAATATAAAAGCACATGATTAAGCATCTCTGAATTCTCATGCCCCATTTGCTCTGAATTTATTTTTATTGCCTTGAAAAAGAATGCAAATATAATTTGGTCACATTCAAAATAAATCATTGTTATCTTGATGCCAAAAATTTAGTCCTTAAATGCTCATTTCTCAAACTTTGTGTACAACCACTAAAAATATTTCTTAAAATAAAATATACCAAATGTGGCAAGGACAAAGTCTTAAAAACTTTAAAGAGTCTTTTCAGGAAGCATATAAGATAAACAAATAAATCAGCAAGATTATGTACACCAGATGTGCCATCTATAGTGACACAAAGAGTTTATTGTTCTCCAAATTTGTCCCTCTTGACAAATAGTCTTCTGACAAAAAGAAAAAAAGACAGGGAAAAAGTAAAAAAAGAAAAGTCTCTAAGATTAGGAATTCAGAAAGAATTTTTGTTAGAAGGAATAAAAAGAGATATGACTGACACTTTGAAGATATCAGAACAATAATATAGGAAACAAACCCCTCCATTTTGCAGAGCCTATTAATAACCATCCTAAAATTGTTAAGTACAGCAATGAATAAATAAACCCAGTAAGATTTTTTTCTAAACAAAAGAATGATACTGAAAACTGAAGGCTATGCCAAAACAAAAAATAGCATTGACTTTTCTTCTGAAATGTAATCTCTGTCATGATTGCAGGTTACATGTAATTAATATACCTAACATGTTTGTTGGTAACAAATTTTTAGTATCATTTATTATTATCTTTAGCTTCCCAGGATGACATTATCTATGGAAAAATCTCTGTTCTTCAGTTAAGACAAATATCTTCAGTAAGGTACAATCATCCTGTGTACAAATCCACACTTCAAAATTAATTTTAGAGTCCACACCCCCAAAATGCAACCACTTCCCTTCAGTGTCCCAGAGGTTTTTCCCCATCACCTCCAAATTACTAAATTACTAATAATTGTATAATAGCAATTAGAAAATTACCACTGTGTCTAGTAATTTAGTACTACATTACTAAAAACAATCCTGTCTTTTCCTGTTTTCCCTCTCCACTGAAACAAATTACATATCTGTAATATAAATTATGTGGCTTCGACCAGTAATCCCTGAGAAAACAGAGAGCTCACAGGCCTCCAGAAAACTGGGAAAGCGATGGGGACAAGCTGCTGATTGATCCCACATTCCCATATGTAAATATTTTAATTTGTGTCATTGTCTCTGTACAGTCAGCCTGTTTTTCTTCTACCCCTATATGCCTGTGCACCTGCTCTGGGTATTTGGGTTATCAGCTTCAGTGGTGGAGCTTTCCTATACTGCCTCTTTTCCCTGCTGCTGAGGACAAAACTGACTCCACTTATTATGGTTATAGCCAATTTCTCTTGTTGTTTTCTTTCTCTTTCCTGTTTGAAATGTCTCCTGCTCTGCCAGGGATAAGTTTGATTCCTTTATTTCACTTTCAGACTCAAAATACAAATAAGCTGTCCTCCTTTTGCAAATGCCAGAAGAAGAACTCCAATGAGCCTAACATCCTTTGACGTGGCCCAGAAGAATGGCTGTGTATGTGTGTGTTGGGCCAGCTGAGCACGTGCTTTTCACCTGGGGCTTCAAGGAATCCCTTGTGTCCCCACACACCAACACAACATGGTAACAGAAGTAATCCAGGAAAACCAAAACTGGCCACAGGCATTCATTCATTCATTCATTCATTCATTCATTCATTCATTCATTCACACCTTCTCTTCTTGTTGTAATTCAGTTTAGTAAATTTAGAACAAGACTTTTCCCCTAAAAGTCAGGGAAACACATTGTAACTGTTTAGCTACTGTTTTGAATCTCACTTAAAATGCTTTGAAAGTTTTACCTAAGTGAACCCACTAAAGCTTTTATACAACAATATAAAATCCAATATTGCTGAAACCGTTTACCTTTTGTTTTCTCCTTTCTTGCTTTAATATGATTCTGCTTCTGAAAAATGCAAATTATTATTATTTTAATTGCAAAAATATAATCTTGAGTCATGGCTTGAATTTCTCATCAGTGGTTCTGAGTTTTAGAACACAAATACGTTAATGTTATATGTTATGTTATGTTATGTTACAATGAACCAAACCTCCAGTAAAGTCAACATATCTCTGTTGAAGTAATTTTGACTGATCCCAGTTTACTCCAGTAAGGATAGGACCACATTTGATATTAGGAGATCAAACACATTTAACATGATAAAAGAAAATATAAAAAAAGCTTTTAATCATTTGACTTTTAATGCACATTTCATCAACTTGTAATTTCTTAAAACTTAAGAAATCTTTGTCAATATATTATTTCCTCCTATTTTTTTTTTGTTTTTGTCATGCTGCAACATAGCTACAAAACTATATTAGCAAACAAAAGGAGCACTATATGAGCTTTTACCTTTTGGGACTTTCCAGAATATTGGGGAGCCTTTTGTAAAACAGGAAAGCAAAATAGATTGACACTACAAGTTGCTGTTGTTTGTTCAATATAGGAAACAGTTATACCTCCAACTACTTGCCTCATCTGCCAAACATAGTCTTATGTGAAATGCCTGTAGGACTTGGTGCATAAAATTGGAAGTCAGGGTCATTGCTCCATGAGCAGAGTGAGCATGGCTGCAGTCCTTAGGTCAGTAAGATTAGGACTTTTTGTGAGGGTTAGAAATGTAGAGTATTCCCTTGGAATTGCCTTTTGCTTAAAGTTAGAGCAAACTTTCCAAAACATATGCATATAACATTGCAGTGGGGAGGAACCCCAGTGATGTGTAGTTTTTCTGACACCTAAAATGTCTGTCACCTAAAAACCCCAGCTTGACCCGAGTAACCCTGACAGATACTACCAGCAGCAGCAAGCAGCAGGTTGATTTGTATTTGCTAAATGTGGCAGTACTGCTACACACTGGGTTTTCTTACAGAGGGTATGGGAGACAGGCATTTAGGACAAAGCTAGGGTTGGTGTTTTGGGGTTTTTTCCAAGTGAAACTCTCCTTTCCTTCTGCTTCACAGAGGCAACATTCAGAAAACTCAATTCGCTGGGAAGACTTTCAGATGGGTAGGGTGTTTTTTTTATTTTGATTCTGCATAGTCTGAATGATTATGAAGCTGTGTTCTGCAATGCTGCTTCCTAATGGCTGACAAAATCTGTGAGGTTTGCATTTCTAGTAGATTGGCAGAGGGCAGAGCACATTGTTTTTCTGTTCTAAAAAAGAACATTTTCTTTTTTATTTCTTTATGATTACAACTCAGTTTGTGATGCTTTACTATTTCAGTGAATCTCAATACCTGTACATCCTTTTTCTCAAATGGTAACCACTGCTTTTCGTGAGGGCGTGAGAAAGGCTCATCCAGCCCCTGTCTGTGGAGAGACACAGAGCCCAAACGTGACCCCCTGCCTGTGGTGGGAGGGCACCTGCACCTTCTCACAGTCTGGCTCCAGAGGGGACTCCAGGGTGTCACACTCCATGGCCTGCTGCTCTGTGAGGGGACACCAGGCCTGAAACACACACACTGTGGCACTACCGTGGAGAGGTACTCATTTGATCACAAACACCATGGTCTGCCCAGTTTGTGAGGGGAAATGAGGCCTGAAGCACCCACCATGGCTGTGCTCAGTTTGTGAGGGGAAATGAGGTCTGAAGCACACCATGGCTGTGCTCAGTTTGTGAGGGGACCCCATGGTGCCACACACAACATGGCAGTGCCTGGTTTGTGAGGGGGCACAGGGTTGTTAAACACACCATGGCGGTGCCCGGTCTGTGAGGGACACTGACACAGCATGGAGCAGTTTCTGTCAGCTTTGAAGAGTTTCACTTACCGACTGCCACCCACCCAGTTCATTTTCTGCTGCTGAGGAGGCAGGGAGGGAGCGCTGCCCTGGGCGCTGCTGGCACTGTGGGCAGAGGCAATGGCTACCCCGGGATGGTTTGCAGCCGCCCAGCAGGGCCACAGGGCCCTTCTGCAGGGCCTCCTCCTCCCTTCAAGCACCAGGGCAGCTGCTCTTCATGCCCCAGGCTGGCAGAGGAGAAGGAAGGGGTGGTACAGGGATTGACAGACAAAGGGGAAGGATGGAGAAAGCCAAGGGAGGCACTATGGAAGAGGAAGATGTGATGCTCTGGTTGCTGCTGCCCTTTTGCCTCTGGTGTTTCCATACAGGCTGCTGCCAAAGCCATCGTCCTTTCCCAAAGGAGTCAGGAGCATCTTGTCCCAAGTGAACTGGTTTGTCTTTAGCCATCTCTGCTACAACCACTATGATTTTTAGGACAAGAGAGCACTTTCCATCCTACTCTTCCTCAGGTATATTTAGGGGAAGCGATGAGCATTTCCTACAGGTAGATGTTGTTGCCCTTGGTCCTGCCTGATGAGCTGTTGTGTGTAAATGCGACTAACCCTCGAGGAGGGATGCAGAGCCACTCGGGGATTCTTGGCAGCAGCACAGCTCCACTTGCTCCCTTCCCTATTAGCTCACTTCCACCGTCTCAGCAAGTGAAGGCACTCATTTACAAAACAATCATCAAAATTCTACATGAATCTTTTCCTGTGGTGTTTCTTTCCTGAGTTATCTTTAGCCTAAAATTTTTCAGGGTACTAAAGTTTGATTAGCATTAGTACAACAATGTGAAGAGTGTTCAGAGTAGATATTAGGAGTTTAAAATTAAAAATTAGCTAAGATGTTTTTCTTTCTAATAGTCCTAATTTGGCTAGGCTGTTTATAGAATCTGATAAGTATGCAAAATTGTTTCTTGTAACAACACTAGATTAAAATCTTCATGATAAATTAGATCTATATTTTAAGTCTATGTGTCTCTACAGCTAATATGACAGATGACAGACTGAAAATTTATTTAATTTCTTCACTTCAAATAATAATTTTTATTTTCAATTCTATCTAGTGTAAATGATGAACTTGGTAATACTAAGATGTAGTTTCATGTACAAGATAGCCAAATCCCTTTAACATTTTTTTTAAGTATATATTTTCTATATCACTCTTACTCTTACTTTTTCACAGTATTGTCTAGATTTAAAGGAAAAAAGTGGGATTTTCTTTATTTTTGACTTATTTAATCTGTAGTTACCCAGGAGTAGTTACATGGCAGCTTCAATTAATTATTTTCAACGTAATAAATCTTCTCCTCCTCAAATTATTTCTTGCAAATAAAGCTAATGACCTTTCAAACAGTCGTAAAATAAAACATCAGTTCTTTTTTGAGGAGGGCAAAGTAAACAATTAAATAAGACTTGAGATGAATATGATTATATTTACAATGTTTGCATATTTTGCCTTGACTGTCAACATTTTAAAAGCTTGAAATAATTAATTTGAATTTCTGAATAATTTCAAGAAGTTTTAGGACATAATTATTAATTTTTAAAAGGTCATGAGAGTGAGTTTCATGGAGCTTTGTTGATTCTCTGGGAAGTGAAGTAACCACAGAACAAAGAGGCTTCTTCTATTTGTCAGAGACTGAAGTTTAAGGATTTCCCTTTTTTCTAACTTTTATAGCTACTCTTCAGAATAACTATATCTCATGTTCCTTTGTTAATTAAGTATTATACAGGATCTTCTTCAGAACAGCTTTCCCACCCTCAGCACCTGAATTTTCCTCTCTGACATGTTTCTTCACTATCAGATCAGTTCTAGATATAAGAGACATAAAGCAGCCCAAAGCAGGCTAAGAAAGCATTTCTCCAGGGAGGCTGGTGTTGAAATGTTCAC